GAATCATAAGTCAAAATATAATGCGCTAAAATCCGTAAAATTAGTTTCATTTAATGTGTAGTGTTCGCGTAAACATAAGAAGTCAAAATTGTACACTTGTTGAAATTTTAATATATTTTCAAGAAGAATAATATTGGTGTAAGTGTAATAATAAAATTATTTAACCGATTGATATAATTACAGCTAGACATTATTACAAAGTTAGCAGAAAGTAAAAAGTTAAAAAATACTTTCTTAACAACGACACTCATTAGCGCAAGTCGCAACACGAAAGAATGCGGGATAAGCTAGTTGACTCATAAAGTTACTATCAGTTTCACAGCGGAAATGCTTTAGATTAGAACTTACTGGTTATATAACACCGAGTAGCTGCAGTCATAGTGTCGTACGCAAACGTAAACGTAAACGTTCGGTCGATGTGAGAGTTCAAATTGAAATAGACCAAGAGATACCAGATCAGACAACCGCTTATTGCTTGATTTTAAACGATTGTATATTCGAATACAAACCATTGAGTAATATTGTTAAAAATATCATGAATAGCAATACAATAATCGTAGATCTTTGAGGATTTAAAAATAGCAAATTTGAATTAATAGTAAAAGAATTTGCTATAGCCACTCTAGAGTACACCTAAATATTCCTAATCAAACCTCCTTACCAATTCGCTTCACTATCTCTTGAAGATAAAAAAAATTGACTGGATTGAAAAGCACACAGTTGATTATACGGAGTTTCACATAATCATCAAGACATATTTGAAAAATAAAAAGATTTTTTTAAAAGTATGTGAAAAAATTAAATGGGTACAAGATATTTGTGATGAAAATAATACTCGTACTATCATAGATATAAGTTGCTTAGGAGCTCCCAATTTAAATACTCTTTGTGAACTTTATTGTAAAGATATATTACTGTATAACTATTTTACTCACAAGAAAATCTGTGCGTTAAAATGTTTTATGTATTTAGAAATGTTGTTTTGAAAACAAAAGGAAGACAAGATCAGAAGGAAGAGATGAGTTTGTAATACGTGTACAGAACACGTCGTTGAATAGCAAAACTACAACACTGAGTGGAGAATAAAAAAGAAGAATATACAGTACTCAAGAGCTGAATATCCATTCTTCAGTTCAAAATCTAGCCAGTTAATCAGTTTCGAAGACTGGCCTCTCCTTATGCAACAAAAGTCTTAAAATCTTGTATAACCTTAACTACTATGGTCCACAGTAACATTTCTGTTTTTATCTATCTCAATAATATTATCAGACATAAAATAAACTCTATCAACGCTTAGCGCAATTTATAATGACCCCAAGCTAATATTTCAATATTATTATGTTAAATATGCCTCTTTGTGCCATTATATGATAAACCAATCTTATTTAATTTTTGTGTGAAAATTGTGCGATTAATTGATTTAAATCTGAGCATACTACAATATTGCACTTTTTTATTAAATAGAGAAGACTTATAACTATTCATTGTCATATTTTTAGTGATACATTTTTTTACCCCTTTTGCCTTTTCTATAGTCTTATTCTCTAAGTTAAAAGCGTACATTTTAGATCGTAAATCTACAAACAAATTCTTTCATGATTTTACCATTATTGTCATTTTTGAGAAAACCTTATTTCTTTTTATTTAATTTTGGATATTAAAAAATTATTTGTATCATAATCTGAGGTATCAAAGTATAAGGAATGGCCAGGTTTTATATCAGTGCAAAAATCATCCGTAAATACATGATTTATAAAACTATCCGTATCTGTATACAATAATTTGATTTTACTAAACTTTTAATCATATAGTTATAATGAAAATCATACATTTTTGAAATTCCTAAAATACAAAACCCTAACTAAATTGGTTTGTTTTATATTAACTTAGTTTTTCGCAAATAAACCGCAACTAGGTTTTCCGAAAATGTTGAAAGAAAATGAAATTGTGGTTTAGCGATTAGATCTTGAGCACCTAAAGCTTTACCCTAGTTCTCCCAGTGTGTAACTAATTTTACGTTAAACCTTTTTTCAATATTCTCCATGTTCTTAGTGAAGACTGAGTTATTCATAAATTTATAAAAATCTTTTTCAAAATCTAATTTTGCTAACGTCCTTAATTTTGTATTTAGATATATGTACATTTTCAACCAGGGAGACTGTTTAAATTTTAAAACTCTATGAATTTTAGTTAATTTAACCCCCATATCGTTGCACTACTCTAAATTTCTGTAATGAATTAGATATTTATCTTTATTATTTAAATTTGGGACTAGTTTATTCACATTGATATTACCTACACAAATGTTTCCTGGGCATGAAGGAAATTCCGAATGTATATTATGAAGTTCATCATGATATTCCAAATCAACTCCTAATGTAAAACCGAAGTCAGATGTCTCAGACACATTAAAATCTGTATTTGGATTTACCCATTCAAATCCAATCAGTAGAACCATATTCAATATCATATCAATATTGTTGGATATTAAGATATGATATATGAATATGGTTTCCATACGTCATAATCCCCCATGTATTTGCTATTAGCTCTAGCATAACGATTATTATATTGAGATACATCATCCCTGATACCTGATCTAATAAATGCAATTTTCTCATAATCTCTTAAAAGTTCTAATTCTATTTTTGTATATTTTAGCATTGCATCCCAACTTAAACTGGGAGCTGTGTAATAATGGACAGGGTTTAAACCATAAGTATTAATACATAACTTTTTATAGTTTTTAAATACGTCAGATAAAAGTAAAACGTCTGTTTTTAAATACAAGTTTGAATAATATAGCATATTACAACACCCTAAGTGTTCCCAAATATCTTTAGGATGATTGTAATCATTATTTGAAATATGGGAATCTGTGAGCGAGCTATAAAAATTTTTTTTGTTCAGAGAGCGACGTTATGTATATACTAATAAAGTTGGTCATAAATTTATATGGATAAACCCCTTTCCCTTTGAAACGAATAAAATCTGCATGAATTTTTTTGTAAAAGGATATACATACATACATACATATATATATATATATATATATATATATATATATATATATATATATATATATATAATATATTTGTCTTTATTTTGAGGGATAATTTCGACTTCACCATCACAAAAGTTTAACGCATGAACAATAAAATGAGCATCACAGTGACTAAGGTTGCGTAAAAATATTGGTATATGACGTGTTGTTCTGTACTTCGAGCTATATGATTTATGAGCAACACCTATAAAACTATCAGTGTACCAAACAAAACCATAAAAAAGTTCTGTTAACTCTGTTTCACAAATATGACAAATAGTTGCATTAGAAATTTGGTTTTTGTCTTCATTTGTTAGCGGAACTGGATATTTTTTAAATTGTTAGATAAACTTTACACAAACACTTGTGCACATTTGGGTCCGCAATATGTTATATATTTTGATAATTTATCATCGTATGAACATTTTATATAATAACCAAAACTATATACTTCATCTTTCTGAATATTATGGTTTGGATGAATCGTTAGAACATGATTCTATTGGTTTAAAAATTATCCTCCTAGTAAAAGATGCAGAAAGTCAATGAATGCAGGTGGCTCTAAACCATGCTGTTTTTTCCTCTGCTTGGTGTAATTCCTTGGGACAGAGTTGTACTGTGCAAAGATTTTTATATAATTAAAGTTACATACGAACTTACAGTCCACCCGATGGTAAGTGGCTACTTCAGGCCACGGACACCGGCAGCTAACTTTAAACAAATAAGGTCAAAGACGTGTTTTCACCCCTGAAGATCTCATTTTACGACACAACAGTTAAATTAGCACCTTAAAATGCGATCGACAAATACAGTTATGTCAGTAGAATCAAAGGCCGGTTACTCGCATGATATGATAACGAGCCACTGAGTTTTGGTTGAGCTGAAATGTTAATCGACGTGGTCTATCGTTATTACACAAACTTACATTTCTTATACTTGTATATTGTAAAAAAAGACGCTAAAAGAGAATGGATGATAAAATACCTTCGGGAAATAATCACAAAATGTATCGAAATGAATACTATCAGTCGCCAACCCGTCTGCCAAACATGACAACTATCGCAAAATCCTCCCTTTGCGGCTATCTATCAGAGAGCCCTATGTTTAACAGTAACGTTAATTTTAATAGGCTATAATATAACAATAAAAACTATGTACTCTTAGATAAGACTATGTATTTAGGCATCAAACTCAACTTACAACTCAAATTTTATTTACACATTATATTTATATTGTTATTAATTCACATTTGATAATAAAAATCTGTAATAATTATAGAGAATTAAAAAGACTTTTTAATCAAAATGTGATAGACCATTTAACGGTTACTATCTTGATTTATTATTTTTTTGTAAAATAATACCGGTTGCCGGTACAAAACTGCCACTTTAAAACGAAATTTTCCTAATTTTAGAGGTCCCTCTTGCAAAGCGATTATTTATTTATTTAAACATCATACGGTATGATGTGTAGGCGGACTTAATGCCTGAGGCATTTTCTACCAGTCAACCCCTGGGTGTTGCAGAGATAAAAATATGAAGTAGGTGTCTGAAATGCTAAACGACAAGTATGTACATTAAAGTATTTAAATATAAAAAACAAAATAATACATAAACCCATACATAAACTTACATATAAAAATTGTTTAATACATGCATATTGGGTCCGATTGCGTTTCTTTGGCGCACTTAAATAATGCAGAATAATAGACTTAAATTAGTCTAAAATTCGTACTAATATTATTGCTATTGCGTTTGTTAATTAATTATGTCCACAAAACTATTTATGTCCAATTCGGACTTAAATTATATCTACGCATGTCTTTTGCTATTCCGTTTCTGACAATTTGACAGTTCGTTGGCTTTAAATGAACTTATACGTCTAGGAAATGTTATTCTTTAAGTTCGCACCTATTTAGTCCGTACGTAAGCTAAGTTTCTTCGGAAAATAGTGAAAAATGTTTCCTTATGGCTGGGCTATCATTCAAAGAAGAAACAATGAGGAACGGCAACGGTATGAGTACGAAATTTATATTATAGAAACTGCTTTTCTTGTATACGGTAGGTATAAGCATAACATAACCTAACTTTTTTCGTTGTAGGGCTGCGAGAAGGATAGCGCATCGCCATATTCGGGACCATTCCAACCCTTTCGATCTGCCTGCAAAGGTTTTTACCAAATTATAGAGACTCTCCAAAAGAACTGCGCATTTTTAGTGGAGTGTTATCACCAGAATTGAAATCAACAAAGGCAGCACGGAATTCCTGTGCATATCAAAGTTTTGGCTTCACTCCATTTCTTTGGACATGGCGGCTACCAAACAACGGTTTGGCAGGGTCAGTATTTAGATTTAAGCCAGCCATCTGTAAGCAAATGCTTACAAGAAGTTGCTGATGCAATTATAACTGTTTTATTGAACGGTATGGTGCTATTTCCAGAGACTGAAGAGGAAAGGGCAGAAAATAAACAGAGGTTTTTACAGATAGCTGTAAAAACCTCTGTTTATTTTCCTAGGGTTTCCTTCAGTCTTAGGTTTGATAGACTGTAGTCAAATCTCCATTGTTCGCCCAAAAGACACAGCACTTGTGCCAGCGAGATTATTTTTAATCGCAAAGGCTTTTATAGTCTTAATTGCCAATTTGTATGTAATGCAAAGATTGAAATTATTCATTTCAATGCCACTTTTTCTGGATCAACACATGATGCAGCGGTCTGGCAAGGATCCAGTTTGAGCCAATTATTGGAAACCAATTATGTTAACGGAGTTTCAGCTGGTGAATGGCTTCTAGGAGACTCTGGATATGCCCAACTGCCTTGGCTGATGACCCCGTATGCTGATGCGGATGAAAATACACCTGAGGCTAGATATAATTTAGCGCATACCAAAACGAGGGTCCTTATTGAAAAATGTTTTGGAGTGATGAAAACAAGATTTAGATGCATTCACAAGCACAGGACGTTGCATCATGACCCCGTGAAGGCATCTAAAATAATAGCAGCTGTAGTTGTTCTCCATAACGTGGCAATTAAGAGAAATGAACCTTTACCAGATGAATTGGAACTCGAAGACAGATTGCGGCCAGCAGATGATCCTCCCAAGGATATGAATTTTTTGAATGTGGCAAGAAATATTCGAAATAACATCACAAGACAATACTTTGCATGATGTTTTTTAATTAAAGATTTAAATTAAAGAATTAATAAAACTTAATTTCGAAAAAAATAGTTTATTTATTTTTATTGATCGCTTCGACGAACATGGGAGCGGCACGCATTATGCAATCGCCAAGATACCGAGCGGTCTCTGTCTGCGCATTGGCGAGCGCTATCTGCGCTTGGGCTCCCTCCCCTTAAAGCCGCTATCATGGCATCTTCTTGCAGGGTGGCTGAATCGGCTGGCGGCACGAGCATTCGGGGCGTTGCTCGACGTGCGTTGCGGTGCTCGAGGCGCGGAGTGTTGCGCACCACGCCGTCCTCCAGTCTCTGTTCAGGGGTTGAGGCCACGATGTGTACACGACTGCAACTGATCGTCGCCAGATCTCTATTTGCCGCTGGCATCATCAACGCGTCTACCGCAATTCTACCAACGCGAGATGCTGTCGGTATTGATGACGCTTCCGTCGCCATTGAAGTGACGACAGTCGCCCCATCGTGACTCGCCGTCGGTGTCAACGCGTCCACCATAGCCGCTTCCTTCGGGGGCTCTTCTTCAGTGTCTGAATATATATCCTGCATAGTACAATTACAAGGATAAATTCATACAATTGTACCACTATGAAGTCAATTTCAGAATACCATTATGCATAAAACTCTTTTTAATATGACTTCAGTATTTATTACTCATACCATTAATAATGCGGTTATTCTATAATTACCAAAATTGACCATAACGCTTAATGAAAACTACATCAAAATATAATCAGTAGAACTCAAGTCATAATAAGGGCACTGTTTAAACTTATTTATAAAACTAACACATCTTATTTATATGTATATAATAATGTTGTTGTGAATAGGTAAAATATACTCACAACTGTTACTGCGTCTAAAATCAACGTCTGCTTGGGCTTTGGCAGTTGAGTATCATCCAAAACCTGTAGTCAAAATCAACTTAACATCAGACCATTACTGGTAATAAATATCACGACTGCTACAAACATTGCCATAACACACTCACCGTCAACCACCGTCACCGTCACCGTCAACAATGGGCTCTGGAGTCCCTGGGACAATAATAATACCCTGTAAGAAATTTACAAGTCAAGGATCAAGGTTTTCCGTTCATATTATAAAAAGACATCTTTATAATATTAATGCTATGTAATGTATGTAGTTTTCAAAATTAACACAATTGTGATGATTGATGCAATCATGAAAAAATAAGTAAATCTAATATAGAGCTTACAAAAAACTAATGCAATAACTTACAGCTTCCACAGCTCCAGGCAATCCGTATATAGTTGATGTCCCCTCTATATTTATTATTTTTTCCTCCAGTTCTGTCAAACAGTATCTGCTGGAGGACCACCTCCAGTCCTTTGCATAGATGCAAGCTGTGTGCGCATCTTAGCCTTCGCCCTGCGTGCTAATAACTTGCATGTCTGAAAAATTTAGATTATGCATTTAACAACAACTAATATCCAAGTGGGTAAAGTAGGTTGGTTAAGATTTAAATTTTAAAAGTTCACTGATATATATAGTACAAAATTAGGACAATTTAATGTATGAAGCACCACTAACTAACCTCTAACCAATCTTTCTGTATCTTACGAACACCTCCCATTCCATTGAGAGCTTCTGTCAGTTCAGTCCACAATCTTTTGGTAGCCGGCAACTGATTTTCACACAACGAACAACAAGAATTTCCTGTTGATAAATAAAGACAAATAAAGTATATGTGGTAAGTATAAAAACATCATGTTTTATTGGATGCCAATTATTTATATTATATGTTATGTTATAATTTAACGTGAATAAATGATTGTGAATGTAATAACAAACGTTGCAATGCGATATGACTACCAAACTGAATTTACACAGGAACGCTTGTAGATAGGATAAGTTAGAGTGCACAATATATTTTTTTTAAAAACGTTACCCCTACACTAAGATTTTCTCTTGTATTTTGGGGGCAGTTTACAAACATAAATTGCACAAGGACGAACATCCAGACCCGGAACAACTACTTGTAGGCCATACAAATACTTGTTCCGTGCGGGATTCGAACCCGCGACCCCCAGCGCAGCCACTCATTGCTAAGCCACTGCGCCACGGAGTCGTCAAAATATATGATTATGATCAAATTTAAAATGAACTTGCTATTCTGTAAATAGATGGATGGATGAGTAGGGTAAATCGATAGATTAAAATATAACAATTTACACTACTAAAACAAAAATTCACATGAAATATTTTGTAAACATACCGTTAACCGTTTCCGGATTCCTCATCAAGAAGTTTAATAAATATTGTTGCTGTTCTTTCTTCATTCTTGGCTTCTTTGTATCCATATTTATTAAAATTTTAATAATTCTTGCGAAAACTCACACAAAAAATAACCACGACAGACTTGACAATTTGACAGACTAGTGGTGTGGTGTTGCCATTTGCGGCGGCAAACGAACGTAATTATGTCCATTTCCATAGACGTAGAATTAAGTTCAAATTTAGTGACGTGAACTTATTTTAATACAAACGTAATAGCTTTAGATTAAGGACATGGACATATTTAGTAAAATTTTAGTCTGTCATTATTTAGGTTCGAAGAGAAACGCAATCGGAACAAGTATTTCTATGGCCTACAAGTAATTGTTCCGGGTCTGGATGTGTGTCCTTGTGCAGTTTATTTATGAAAACTGCCTCCACGATACAGGAGGAAATCCTAGTGAGAGTTTTACGTTTTTTAAATAAAAAAAATAATAAAAAATTGGATCCAGCAATGTCACCAACAAGCAAAACAAGTAATACTGGCCAATTATCTCCCTTTTAATTTAGTTACGGCATTTACGTGAAACTATATATTCTATTGTAGAAGATTTGCCATAATTTACACACTTGACTGGCCAATAGACGATATCATAACCAGAAGGTTCACACCTTTGACGCTGCTTCACGTCATCGACGTGTGTATCAATTTGAAACTTTATATGTGTCCCAAGTAGTTACGTTGTACCACTTCTGGCTCACTGAGTCAAAAGTGGTTGAACCACTTCTGACTTTTCTGACTCAGTGAGCCAGAAGTAGTACAACATTCGTCGACTCACGATCCAAAAAAAAGGTTTTGGTATGCTCTGATCACGAATCTGTTACGTTACGTTTTTGCGTAGTACGCACAGTTCCGGAGATGTGTAGTTCAATTAACTAATATCTAATTGACATCCGGTGAGGACCTCCACCATCATTAGCATCCCATTGTTCTTATCAATTTATCTATTGTATTATACTTCTTTGTTCCTATCTACAACGCTAATCTGAATCATCAATAAAACACATTACATAATTTTGTTACAATTTTTATTTACAAAATACAAAATCTTATTACTTATTATGTATAAAATATAATAATCGTTGTATAATGTGTTCTCTGTAAATATACTCGTAAAACTATGCATTGAACATCCCTGAAACTTATACAGCAAATACATTAAACAATATTCGCCACAAATTGAAGTCGAATCATTCTGTATCCTATCAACATTCCAGTTCCATCTTTTACAATTCCTTTTTAAAAACTCTAGATGATATCCTACAGGTGATCGTCTATATGAATCAAAATATTGACCGACGTCATTCGTATCGATATATAAAGCTACACAATGTGACCCTGGTTTATCATCTGTATCCAAATTGCATATTATATACGTTGGTACGTGGGTATACATGGGCAGTCTATTAGCAGTACAAACATTATTTTCTAGACTGGAGCGAATCTTTTTCAGATGTTGTTGTACATGTTGTGTATCCATGATATTACTGATATTATTAGATTATTACAGTACCAATCTACTCAATGACTAACATAGGAATGATCAATTATAGTTATTTCTAAATATTAAATGGCATTCTTTTGTGTTATACAAATCGTGTTTGAGTCATCGATACACTGAACAAGACGCCACAGAATGTGAGATAAGCTTGTTGACGCATAAAGTTACTATCAGTTCCACTGCAGAAATTCTTTAGATTACAATTATCACTTACTGGTGCTACATAAGACCGAGCAGCTGCAGTCATGGAGTTATTGTATGGTCGCTTGACCGCAGTGGATCTATTAATATTACATTTGTGTTACTTCAACGCATCAAAGGCCATGGATGTAAGTGTTTATTCTATTGACAAACTTACTTTTCTTTCTGTTATTTTCTTACGTGTGTATGATTTAGTATTAACAAATTACATTTAAATATTATGTGTGCATATGATTAAGCCGTGGTGGCTCAGATGGTTAGCGCAAGCTGTAAATTTCACAGTACGCGACCCGGGTTCGATCCCAGCCGGTACCAATAAAATGTTAATTTCAATTTTAAGTACTGATTTACCACGTGCTCGGTGGTAAAGGAAAACATCGTGAGGAAACCTGCATGTCTGAGAAAATTTCGAAGGCATGTGAAGTTCGCCAACACGCATTGAGGCCGCGCGGTGGACATTTTCTAGCTCTAAAACGCTCTCAGAAATGAGAGGAGTCCTATGTTCAGCAGTGGACTTTAATAGGCTGTAACTTTAACTTTTTTAACTTTTATGATTAAGTGTTAACAAATTGATATTATAACATTATTTAAATTTTTTTTTTTTTTGGCGGAATAATAAAAATAAATTAAGGATAATATTTTTTTTTTCTTTTATATTACCTGATAACTGTGTTGTTGCAGAAATTATTTAGCTTCGATGAAAATACCTATAAACAGTGTTACTACTCGCCACTGTCCCCTCAAGAAGAGAGTGATGACATCGTCATTAATAATAACACATGCGATGGTGGAAAAAGAAAATCGCAATCGATTGATCATTTTTTTGAAGCTGAATCAAAAATAAAAAAGAGGAAGATGTTATCATCAACCGTATCACGAGCCGCTAGAAATGGTGTATCATACATTTCTACTGATTCTGACGACTTGGTCTCCCCAAGCGACGCATCTCATCGAAATTGAAATGTACGATATGAAGAAGCTATCCAAGATTCCAACTACTGATCATTGGAAACATGCTTCCACGAGGATTAAATATTACGTAAAGACTAATAAGGACAGCATCTACGACAACACAAACGCCCTCGTATACAATATTACAAAGACAATAGCAGAAAGTGAAAAAGTTAAAAAATACTTTTTTAACAATGACAGTCGTTAGCTGATCATTAGTGAATGTGATTCTGTTTACTTAAATTACCAGAAGACAAGAGCAGAAGGAAGAGATGAGTGTGGCATACGTGTACAGAACACATCATTGAATAACAAAACTACAACATTGAGTGGAGAAGAAAACGAGAAAAAATATGCAGTACTCAAGAGCTGAATATCCACTCTTCAGTTCAAAATCTAGCCGGTTGCTCAGTTTCTAAAACTGGCCTCTCGTTATGCGACATAAACCTGAAGATCTTGCAGAAGCCGGTTTCTTTTATACTGGCCATGCAGACAGGACCAAGTGTTTCCATTATGGTGGTGGTTTAAAAGTTTGGGAAGATGATGATGATCCTTGGCAGCAGCATGTTCAGTGGTTTAGTCAATGTACTTATGTAAAATTTAAACTTGAACAGTGTTTTATATTAGATTAAATAAAAGATTTATAAATAAATAAAAAATAATATATTGCATACAATTTGTTTTATTTAATTTTATAACGTTTCACATAGTTACATACACACAAAACGCATTACACATAACACATAAAATCTACCACACAACACTTTTTTTATTAACTACTATAGTCTACAGTAACTTTTCTGTTTTTATGTATCTCAATAATATTATCAAACTCAGCATAAACTATACAGTTAATTGTTTGTATTAGTGAGGATTCAAATCGTAATTCTAACTTACACTACCATGCTTTATGAGATTCCAATGTGCTGATGAGTTCGCTGATAAATCAGGAGTTAAGTCAAATGCTAATAGACACTAACCTTTGCCATACCGTTCACAAGAGATTCCATTTCCTTCATTAAGAATGTGAATACCAGTTCCCGAGAATAGAGTATGATATGCTGATGTAAATATACTATTATTAAAAGATGGTTGCAAAGCTTTTGAAGGTATTTGTTGACCATCAATATATAACCTGAAAGAATTAATACTATAGTTTTCAAAGTTAAATGGATTTTTAGTAAGGGAACCATTAAATGAATTGTCACAAATCCAATTTAATCTTTTGGGTTCCTGTCTTAAAAAAATAATTACAAGAGTTTTTCCTTGAACACCCGATGGAATTGTTAAAACTTTTACTTCAGCTCGAGTAATAGGATATTTAGCAGTGGTGAAGCTAAAACTTTTTGATATGCGAGTAATACACTTGGATTAATTCGTGCTCGTCGAACAATAAGAGTTGCATCCGTAATGCAGACTTTAGACTTTAAATCGTTTGACCCAGCAATTAAATTAAAACTCTCTCTTGATTGAATAAATTTAACACTCATTTCAACACTATTAATTAAAAATTTATCTTGAAAATGTCACCCTGAAGATGACCAATCATTTCTATTTCCTTTTTTCGCTAATCAATTCCTGTCTTTTAACAAATTCTATGTTTTTAACATCTGTAGAATCCATTTTTCCTGCTGTATCCTCATACCAAAGACTACAAGTAAGATGAGATTGTTTAGCAGCAAGAGCATAGTTTAAAAGGGTTTCCATGTATGCTCGATATGCATGGGTATTAATAGGTGGTGATACAAGTTTTTGGTTTAAATAAACATCAAGTTGACTAAAAAGTGAATGCAGCCAATTATTTACAGGTGCTACTATTGTAGTAGATATCAAGTTAGTTGAATCTTGATTTAATACTTTTGTCTTTATGTGGAGTAATGTATGAGAGAAATCTAGGTAATCATCGCCTGTCCCAGGAACTTGAAACACGATAGGTCCATCATCACCAAGACATGAAATTGGTTTATAATGAATCCACAATCCATTTTCAATGCTAGTTTGTGTAGAGGGTAGTGAAAACAAATCCAATTCTGACTTAACAAACTCGCAAGAATGATTATGAAGGAAAGACATATTTAATTTGAAAATATATCTTTGATATTTTTTAGTTTTAGACCAAGTTTTTTCGCAGCTTTCACTTTAGCAGTTAATGGTGGAATGAACGAGGTCAATCGTTTTCTTTTAGTTTTATACCCAGATCCTGTCATGTTATGATCAATTTTCTCATCAGCCTTTCGTTTTAAATTCGTACTAACTTGCTTTAGACGATCTTTTATTGAGGCTTCCATAGGACGCGCTTGAACCATATCCGATAAAAGTCCTACTCCAGCGCTTAATGCCTCTTTACCAATCACTCGAGAACCACTTGAAAG